TTTTATTATATAGTAGAATCAATAGTTTCAGGTTAACAGGTCAATCAGGTCAGGTCAATTTTCATACCTGACCTGAATTTTTTTTAAAAATCTCATACCTGACCTGAATTTCAGGTCAGGTCAGGTTACCTGAATTTGGCTGACCTGTTCGGAACTCTAGTAGACAGGGTTCTGCACACATAGAATCTTTAATTAAATGACAAGTGGTTTAATATTTAATAATATTAGTATAGTTTATATTTAATATTGTATGTTTTATTGTACATATAAATTTATTAATAAAGTATTAAATGTGCTGTAGTAAAAAAAATAAATAAATAAAGTAAATATTATCGCTATTTTCAAATTAGTGGGATCCCCTACATATTACCCACTAAGGAAATCAGTTTTCGCAAATGTGGAAAACCCAGAAATTTTCTGAATAACTTTGTAGAAAAGGTCTGATTGCTAGTGATTCAAATAGTTTGCTTATAAGTGTGTGATAAAATTTTGTGTAATATAAACACTTTTTTATAAGCAAACTACCTTTATAATTGAGAATTTCACAAGATTTCCTCTGAAAATCACTAATAATTGACCTTTTCCTACATAGTTATTCAGAAAAATTCTGGGTTTTCACAAATTTTTGAAAATCGATTTCCTTAGAGGTGACATACAGGGGGTCCCACTAATTTGAAAACAGTGATAAATTAAACTAATTAGTTTAGATTATTATTAGACTAATTTTAACCTTATAATTACTATTTAGTAAGGGTAGTAATATTTATTACGTAATATTTTAGGGGGTGGGAGTGTATTTGAAGATTATATAACATATAAGTGTAATATAAGATTTTTCATATTACATGGGGATGGGTAGGTATAAGCTTATAGTAAATGAATATTACGTAATAAATGTCACTGCCCTAATTTACTAATACTAATTAATTTTATTAGTAACTATATTTTTATGATTAATTTATTCCTTAAACTATTTTGTGGACAAATTTGCCTGCAATTCTAAATTAGAATAAATAATGCTATAAAAAATTCTTTAATTTTGGCCAGATCGTCACATAATTTTGCAGCCAAATTGATCTACATTCTGGCCATAAATTGTATGAATTAGATATGCAGTTGATCATTAAAATTGGATGAAAAATTAACCTATAAAAATAGTATTAGAATTTTTATATAATAAAATCTAAACTTTTCTTACCATATTTTTTCTTTATTTGAATATTTATTATAACTTTTTATTTTCATTATAAAAATTTTGCATTATAATAAACAAAATAGAGATAAAAAAAATTAATTTTTATGAGTATATAATTAAAATGCATAATAAAATTTTCATTAAGGTTCTATATAAAGTCTAAATCCTACTTTTAAACATCAAAAATTATATTAACAAAAATTGTTTTTTATGCCAATTTCTATATATTCTATTAAACTTTTATATAGCTACAATTAATTATCAATAAAATCATCAAAGTTAAGTGCAACATTTTTTAAAATTTTGTGATTATCTTAAAATACAACTTTTGACTAATGGGTAATTTTTGATTTTCTAATATATAATTAATAAATGATAATAATTGCTGCATAATATATAATTTAAACTATCTTGGAAAATAATTTTATTAAAATTGCTTTATTTTTCATAAAATTAGATGAAAGTCAAAATTTGGTAAAATTGCAGATAAATTTGCCCGCAATTGCTTACAGTTTAAGGGATAATTTATCTTTTTTTTTATTTCAAATATGGATGGTTAAAGCTTTATTAATAAAATATAAATTATAATATATAATTTATAAAATTGGTTTACTAATTAATTAATAATAAAAAATATTACACCTCTATAAATGCATTCTCTATAAATGCTTTCACTTTCTATATATATACCATAGTTTAGTCAGAACTCTGCTTACTTATAAAATAGGTTACCTTCAGGCAGGACCCTGCTTACTTATAATAAAGGTCACTGTAGAAAATTGGCCTTTACTAATAGTTTTTACCTTACTTTTTTCTTAAATTCTATTGGTTAATTAGCTAAAAAGGAAAAAAATCATAACAATGTAACATAAAATTTCTTTTTATAGTAGGATCTGCAAAAAATTTTATATATGATTTTTACCTTAGGCTTGGAGGTGACCTATCTTATAAGTAAGTGAGGTCCTCTTCAGGCTTAAGATAAAATTCTTTGCAGATCTTATTATAAAAGGAAATTTTATGTTACATTATTATAATTTTTTCCTTTTTAGCTAATTAACCAATAGAATTTAAAAAAAAAATAAAGTAAAAATTATTAGTAAAAAGCCAATTTTCTATGGTAACCTTTATTATAAGTAAGTGAAAGTTCTGTCTAGCTTCAAGTTTGGAATTTTAAACTAAGTGCATTCCTTTTATATTTTGTATGTACAAGCAATTTTAAGTCTCAGGTATATTAAAATATTCTCTTTATATAACTATTGACCAATATTATTTATTATTAAAATAGATAGATTAATTTATTATTTGTATATATTATAGCATTTTTATACATTTCTGAAAATAACTTTGTTTGATTTCTAATAAATTTATTAAAAAATCAAATTATTTTGTAATAGTAATTGCTGCAAACTATAATTACAATAAATTTAAATGTAATGCTCTTTTTTTATTTATCTTTTATTACACTTAATTAAATACATTAATGTATTTAAGATAAGTTGAAATCAGTTAAAAGCATATAAACATTTGCTTGATCAATAATCTTAAATTGGTATAGTTGAAAAAGATTTTTTAAGAAGATTATATTATTTACAAGGAAATAACATATGATGTAAACCCTATAGAAGATTATTGAATTTTTATCATATATCTAAATTAAAGAAAAAAGATAATGATTTTATTATTACATAATAATATTGAAATCAGTCATATGTTTTATATATTCCTAAAAATATCTGTCAAAAAATTACTTTTACTGAGATGCAGGTATCCGCGGAGAAGATATAGAAAAATTGTGGCAAGAGTTTTATCGTTTATATACAATTTTACACAAAGAATATCTTTCAGATCAAGAAATTGATCAATTTGAAATATTGATACTTAAAATTGAATCTGCATGTTTTATCGTCCAACTCAAGGTCACATGAATAGTGCTACTCAAATTCCTGGTTTATATCGAAAAGATGATGTTACTCCATATATGCATATTTTTGCAAAACACGTACCCCAGTTTATGCGTCAATTAAAAGAAATTGGTCTTTCTTTACGAACTTTTTCTACTTCAAGTATAGAAAAAAAAAGCATAATCATGTATTAAAAAATTACAATTATTTTTTTTATTGAAAAAATTTATATTTATTACTAAATAATATTCTTAATTTAGGTCTGTTTATTTTTTGGAGGTACTACTATGGGTGGGAGAACTGATGGAAAATCAGTAGTATACAACATAATGTCTTTTGAAAATTGCCAATTATTTTACCTAATTAACAATACTCCTATAAAGATTATTGCTAGAAACATTGATGTCAATAATAAGAAAAACTAATTAATAATTATATTTTATTATTATCAAAAATCTATGCTGACAAAAGTGATGTACGAGGTTAAATTTATTAATAATAATAAATTTGATTACCAAAAACAATAATTTTATTACATTGAAATTGTTAAGAATTATTTGTATTTGATAAAGAAGGACGGGGTAAAATATATCTATATTGTGGTTTAGTAAAAGTTGATTTATTATTTAATAAAAATTTATTATTAGATGTGTTATAAGGTGGATTGGAATATCTTATATGCTCATTATTAGATGTACAGTAGATGATGGTGGTTGAGGTGGCGAAACATAATTTTCTTGACTAAAATTAATAAAATAAAGTTAATACAAAAAATAACTTTTAACAACAGAATTTTCATAAATCTTACTCATTTATGAATTCACCGGAGTCAGCAGTAAAGTTAATTGTCAAAATTCCAGACAAAAAACATCTTGTATTTTCTTTTAATTCTTTTTGTTTCCAATTAAATATTACTTTATATTGACCATCATTATTCTCAAATAATATATACCCTCGAGTTGAAGTATTAATATTTTCATGAAATATTATTTGATCATATTTAAATATTTTCTTTAATTGCTCCTCACCTACTGTTCCTTCCAAAATACATTGATATTTTCGCTGGCTTGGTATATATTTGAAATTATCTTCATTTTCAAATAAAGACACAAATACATCCTCTGGAAACGCGTCAAGTGTTATATATTTTTTTCCAACTGAATGCCTGTTAAATCCAAGGCTATTTTTTAAACGAATTATTATTGCGTCTTGATAAAATCATTAGGCCAGTTCATAATTGTTTGATCGGCTTTTTTGGTCATGTTACACTAATCTCATGATCAAAGTTCAATTTTGAGTTGGTTTGATTGATAAACATAAGGCAACCAATAGTTATGGCTTTGTTTATTTTTGTCAGTATTTTTATCTACTCGACTAAAACGACCTACGTTTTTGGTGGTTCACGTTGAACGGTCAGTTGATCATTCTACAGTTAAATTTATTGGTCTGAATTTTTAGTGCAACCGACCAAATATCCCGTTCAATCAATTATGAACTGGCCTATTGTTTCATTAGAAGGTTGATGAAGTATATGACGGTGTGGAATAAGTGTAAATGATCGGCAGTTGATCATTTTTATAGGTGACATAACCGAAGTGAGCCCAGCAAAAAGCTCGGGCACGTGACCGTGAAAATATTCGTCACACCGGCCGAGTTTCACTGTTTATATATATCTGAGGGACTTAGTTTAAGTAAAAAATTATTCGTCACGCCATTACGCCATTATTCGTCACTGTTTATTTTCACGTGTTAGTGCATAACGCCGTAATGCGGGCCAAACCCGAGCTTTTTTTGATGGTGTAGCTGGGGGAGTTCGGCTTTATGTTATTGTGATGATTTAATACCGGAATTTTTTCAGGTAATCTTGCATGTATATATAGTACACTAATAAAACACGGTCGAATGACGCGTTTATTAATTTTTTTCTTATTTAAAAAAGTTATGTTTTCCGATAATGAAGAAATAGAAGGGTGGCAAGAATTAGGCATAGATTTTGAAAATTCAAGTATAACCGTGGAGGAAAGACAAATGCTAATTAACAATTTAAAGAGAGAAAGTTTGTACCAATAACATTATTCTTTAAATATTAATAATTAATTTAAATTCATATTTTTATTTACCGTCACTTTTTTTCATAGCGAAAGCGCGTATTCAAAAACTCAGACAGCAGGCTGAAAAACTTGCTAAAGAAATTATGGCTAGTTGTGAACAAGAGATTAATAGTATTCCAATAGAAATTAGGCGATTGCCTTTAGATGAGTTTATAAATTTATACCATGCCGACCCAGCAGAATACTTTAGGAAACAGAAAACAGCACATAATGCGCAGATAACACCCGTCATAAAATCGACCAGTAAACGGTAATTAAATGTTGATTTTTTTTTTTTGTTTTAAAGAAAAGGTAAATTATAAATGTTTTCTTATTGATAAATATTTATAGAACATTGAATTCGCGTTATCTGATTAAGAAAACTGGTGAACAATCTGAGAGCGGAGGCCTGTTAAAGAAACGAACAGGTGAAAGAAGTTGATATTCTAATAGCAGCTCTTGAAGTAATCTTAAATACATATTTATCTATAAAATAGAACGTGATATTATCCGGCCAATTGTATCGAAGAAAGAATTAATCGAGAATAAAATTGTAAAGAGTAAAAACTCATATGGTAAGAATACAGTTTTTAATCCAATTCGCTGATATAATAACATAATTTAACAGGCGTCCTTGAAACAGATAATGAAGTTTCACGCTTACGATATCCAGAACCTGGCGAGCGTATTATCTCATTGCGGGGAACTCCTATTTTTAATCCGTTTCCAATATCAAAGAATGAAAGTAAAGATAATCCGTTTATTATGGGAGGCGGAGGATTGTGTAAAACCACAAAATCTTTGGTGATTCCTTTAGAAGATGGTAAGATTATAGAATCACCGTCACAAATTCAAGAGATGACGACTGAAAAGAAGAAAGAAGTTAAAAACAAGATTAAGTTATATCGAAAGGAGTTGAACAAATTTTCTTCTATACTTGATAAATGATGAAAATTTGTATTACACATTTAATAACTTTCATTTGTACATAAAGAGGATTCATAAACAGATAAAATGTTCCAATTATGTGATTAAATACGACAGTGACTTGATTTTAGCAATCACGAGGCATATAGACAATCAACGTCTTTTTATTCATAACATTTATAACGGATTTTGGGTATTTAAGATGGTTTCGACAATTTATTTCTCCACGTCAAAATTTGAATTAGAACAATAAATCGCGTTACTTGGATAATTAACTCTACTTAATTTAAAATTTCCTATATCATCTTTAACACCCGACCACGAACGGAAAAATTCCAGGCTACTAACTTCTCAAAAATTTCGATCTTTGATCTTTTAAATAAATTAACCCATTTTAAAAGTTTTATAAAAAAAATTTTTTTAAAAAATATGTACTATGATATGTGAAACAATATAAAGTTAACTAAATTGAAAATACAAAAAAAGTTTTTCTTACAAGACATAACTGTATATATTAAGGAGAAAATAAAATAAATGAATAAACAAGGAATCCATCAAATTATTTTAACGAACCTGTTATTAAGTGTCAAAAAATGTCAAAAAGAGAAATAAAACAGTAATATATAGAAAATACAAAATATTGTTGAATGTGTGAAAAAGTGCTAATAGTCCTTCGGTTATATGAAAAGAAAGAAATGGAATTGCTACTAAATTTCATAATTCCTATTTCTTTGATGAAAATGGTGAAATGCAACAGTACACAAATTTTGTCATTTACATTAAAATGAACAATATTAATCAAAATATCTCATAATCAAATCATAAGACAAATCAATATTTGTAATATGATATCAAACAACTGTTAGCAATAAATCTTCACTACTGAATCAGCTCCACCACTTGCTATCCAAGGTAAAGAAGGATGATATTGAACAGATAACACTCCTTCGTCTGATTTACGTCGATGTGATACAAATTCTTGAATGCATTGTCGAGTCGACATGATGTCCCACAGACGGATAGAACTATCATGTCCTGTTAAAGAATACAGGAATGAATACTTATAAATATTTAATATAAATAATTCCAATATTTATCTAATCTCACCTCCTGACAACAAAATCATTCCCGACGGATCGATATCAAGTGATGTAATTGAATCCAAATGTGCAAGCATCGAAAAAGTACATTTACCTAAAAAAGAATCAAAAAAAGTGAGTTCTGAACAATAAACAAAACAGTTTATAAATTGTCAATAATAATTACCGCTATTAATGTCAAAAAACCTAATATACTTATCCTCATGTGCTGAGAATATTAAAGACATCGTAGGGTGAACGATTATACGATTGATCTGTGTTGCAGGCGTATTATCGTACGTCGAATCACTCTCAAAAGTTAAAACGCTTTGCTCACTTTCAATGTCAAATAATTTTATGATTGAATTTTGGTACGATACTGCAATTTTCTTTAAATCACTGTGTACAAAATCTATCGATGTTGGTATAGGGGGACGATCTATAAAGCAATTAACATGATTAACATAATAATATTTAAATTAAGAAATTCAGTTGAAAATTTCTTTTGAAAAAAATTCGAAACATACCTTCCCCATTAACAGATCCTTCATTATTAATACCATAATAACCCCAAGAGCATTTCAAAGGTGATCCTCCAGCCTCTGTATCCCAAATTTTGACTTTGCCGTCAGCAGATGCAGATGCTAGTAATTGAGTATTTTGATTACGCATAGGGAACAATCTTAAATCCCAAATAGCATCCGTATGACCAATGTAGGTAGTTAGATTCAGCGAAGGGTCTGAACAATATAATAATTAATTCTTCCGAAAATATTGATAAAGATGTTCGAATGAAAAAAAATTATTCCGAGAATAATATTTACCGACAGGTCCATAAGTATCGCGTTTAGACGAAGGTAAATTCCATACACGAATTGTGGCATCCATACTAGCCGAATAACATCTTTTTTGCTCCGAGGCCATTACAACAGAATTAACTGCTGCCGTATGTCCTCGATAAGTAATACATGGTTCAATATCAGGAATGGATGTCGGTCTTAGTTTTTATAAAGTTTTTTGTTAATTTAATTTTCTTTTTATTGACAAATATCAAAAATTATATTAATATCGTACTTGTGAGATAGTGGGCCTTTCAAGTCCCATAATTTTACAGTACCATCTTCAGAACCAGATAAAAACATAAGTTCTGTTTGATGCCATGAGAGAGATCTAACGGTGTCAAGGTGACTATGTACAAAAAAGGACTTTAGTAAATATTTAACTATGAAGTTAAGCAGTTTTATATTAAGATATTTCACCTTCTCAAAGTAAATCTCTGTCTCCACATTTTACGATCTGTATCATTTTCCTGTGTTTTATCGGTCTGTTATATATCACGTGACAGTAAATATGTGTTTTTATTAAAGAAAAACTTTTTTCCAAATACCTCAGATTTTTGAATATTTTCTTCTTCTTCAACATTAAAACTAAGTTCATCTAGCTGTGGATCGGAATTATTAATTTCTAAAACAAAAATTCGAAAGTTAAAACCAAAGTTATAATATTTAAAATTTAAAATTTAATAAATTGAAAACAAACCCAAAATTTCTGAACTTTTTCGTTTATTTGCGTTTTTCATCAATTTTGTCACGTTTACATCCGATAGGCCAAACTTTTTCTGTACATCTTTAGTCTATTTCCATAATAAAATTTATATCATTAATATGGTGTGCATTATAATTTTTGAAAATAAAACATACCAATTGTTGTTCTTCTTCTTTTGTTTCATCTGGACTCTTCAATTTATTTTTATTTTTAACTTGATTATGAGTCTTCCATTCTCTTTCATTTTTTGTTTTATTTTGTGTATTATAATTATCATTATTTGATAAAAATTCACTTTCTTTTTCACAATTAGTAGTGGCCGATTCAACAACGCAATTATTTAATGATTGAATATCCGAAGACATATTAGCTATCGGATTTCCTTCAAATTCTGGCGAGATTGGAGACGATTGTTCGCCATTGGAAAGTTTATCGCCGTTTTTAAATGATTCACTTCCTGAATGAGGGAAGAAGGATCCACCTTCTTGTTCTGTAGACGTAGAATCTGAATGTTCATTTATTGAACAATCTAATGGCGGACTTGAAGAATTAGTTGGTAATATTGGTGAAACCATGGCGGGTGATGTAGGTGCTGGTCTGGAAGGTCTAATGGAAAAATTGCCGGGTCTTTTGGTCATTCTATTATATGCATTTGTATTTCCTCCAACAAATATTGCACTATTTCTATGTAGTTTTCGTGTCGCATTATTACTTCCATCCAAACCATTTGGAATTGGAATTCCATCCAAACCTGTTGGATAGGTTGTAACTCGATTACTAGCGGACGAAGTATTAGTCACAACGTTTGTAAGGTAATCGATTTCTTGTAAACATCTGTAATGTGAATATTAATTAATTCTTGTTAAAATTATTCGTAATAATGATAATATTTATAAGATAATGAAAAAAATATGATTTGCTGCGTACGCTTTAAGAATCTCCCGACTTTTTGTGCGATATTTAGGATCTCTATTTGATGCTAAATTTTTGTATTGAGAAGACACTGTATTCAAAGTTGATGACATACTTTTAAGGGATTGTGTATTAGACGATTCAGCTAATGGCCAAAGAAAATAAGTAACAAAATAAAGTAAATTGATTCGATTTAATTTGCGCCTGAAAAAAATAAGGTTTAAAAGGAACAAATAAGAAAACTTACGAAAATTTTCAAATTCGCAACTTACGTCCTTCTTCATTTGCAGGTGTTGATACATTGGATGATTCTTTCGTTGGAAATTGTGTTGGGGGTACATTGGCCAAATATCTACTCCTATATTTAAAATAATAATAATAAATAAATTTTGAAAAAAAAATATATATATATATTTAACAAAATAAAGGAAATGAAATTGACACAATACCTTTCTTGTATCAAAGCAAATTCTAGCATTTTCACACGTCTCATTAGATCTGTTTTCATGTTCTCAATCCCTCGACGCTCGCCTTCCAATAATGCGATACGAGCCTAGAGCATGTAACAAAATATTAAATGAATTTTTTTCATATATTAACTGATAACTTTATCGAATTCCGAATTTAAACTTTTAGAACGTAACATAAATAATTTTTGGCATAATATTTGAAGTAATATATTAAATTTCTTTCTGAGCTTATTAAAGGCTTACCTTCATTTCCGCGCGTTCAATCTCCCATTCATTCCTATCTCGCTCATAACGCCTCCATTCCGATTGAAGAAAATGCAGTACCCCCGGTAAGGTATACTCTGGAGTTTGAGATTGTTGTTGTACTTGTTGTTGCGGCTGACCGAAAGTTTGTGCCATTGTAAATTTAAATTAATAAATAAATCGTTAATAGTTTTTGTTCGTGATGCAAAATTAAAAATTGTTCGAGAAATATTGAGAAAATATTAGCATCACTTTAACGAAAAGGGATAAAATGAAGGACTTTTTAGATCCCAACAAACACAGGTGCTAACGATGTTTGTTCTTTTGAATCAGGGAATTTTCTAATCGCAAAAGTTTGTTTACAAGCTTAAAGTTTAATATCTTACTTTTTAATGATAAACTCGGTTGCACGACACTTACAATTTTAGGATTATAAGTTATGGAACGTCATAGCCTCATCAGTTCAATACTAAACCCTAATTTATATTATTTTATTATAAAACGTACTGGTAATCATATGAAAACTACGCTTTTCTTTTCAAGCACAGTTTTATTTACGCTTATTCTTATTTCCCTTCGAAATCAAATCTGAAAATAAATTATGAATCCTCAGGTATAATTGTAATTTTTCAGATTTACCTAACACAATTGAATAGTAAAGAGTATTTATAAATATTTTTTGTCTTTGTTTTTTTTTATCGTCGCTCGTTTATGTACAGGTATCAAATTTGTTACTAGTCCTTGGAATAGTTCAAGTGGCTCGCAGATTAGATTTAGATAATCCGGAAGTATTAATATACGTTCGTATTGGTTATCTTGTTTCTCAAACTATCATACTATCGGCCTGTTATTTTGCAGCAATTAAGATAAAGGGAAAGAATGGCAAGTTTTTTTTTTATTTATAATGATTTTCATGTTTGATCTCACATTTTAACTTATATACTTATCGTTTATTAGATCTAACCGCTCTCAAATATGTTGAACCAGCAAAACCGTTTACTAATGAGCAACCAAAGCTTGTAGAAACAAGTAACAGAGACTATGATCTTTCAAAAGTTCAAGAATTACTTAAACAAACCTTGATAGGAGTTGTCATTATGTTGGTTTTGCATTTTTATTGGAATTTTACACAACCTTTGTTTATTCAAAGTATTATTCCATTAAAGAATTTGTATTATAATAAAATCGTACAAATTCATTTGCTTGGTAAACCAGCTGAGGGCGATTTGAAAAGACCATTCAAGGAAGCTTCTCCTTTTGGTCAATTATCTGATTCTCAGCAACCACAAACTGATAAGGCAGCTATTAAGAAAGCTGCTAAAGCTTCAAAATCTGGTGAAAAAGATGATTAATTTTAATAAAGGGAGGGGGCTTATCTGTAACGTTCAGATATCTCTTGTAGAAAAAAAAAATGCAATAATTTTTATAGTTCTTCTTAATTTATTATTAGATTATGTTTGTCAAAAATTATTATTATAGAAACCATATATTATAATCGAGATTATTGACATTCTTATATTTTAATTATTGCACTTTACAAATAATAATATTTTTTTTTTTAATAATAAAACAAAAATGCCCAAACTTGGGCTAATATTAATGAACCAATCGATTTTTGTCGATTTTTATCGATTTTTATTAATAAATAAATAATAATGAAATTTTTCTCATTTTTTCCCCCTTTTCTTTTTGCCACTTCCTGTATTACTGCTTCCTGATACGATTACATCACCACCAGCTATTTCAGGATTTTCTTGCGCTTGAAAAAAGAACATCAAATCTCTTATTTGTTCTTCGAGATCTTTGATTTTAGAATCTCTATTATCAAGTTGTGTTTGTATGTATACTTGTTTTGTTAATAGAGATTTGGTCATCTAACAAATAGTAAATTTATTATTTTGATATTTTATATAATAAATATAGTACCATAAACAAAAAAATCGTTATCTTACCTCTTTTTCATCTCTCAATTCCCTTTCTAGTTTTTCGGATTTTTCAGTAAATTTCTCAACTTTCTTTTCAACAGATTTTTTCTCTTTAATTAGTGATGGAATTTTATCCTTTTCCAATATTTCCTTTTCTCTTCGAATTTCATCTTTATCTCGTTTCAAAGTAGAAACTTCATCTGCTAATTGTTGATATTGGTTGGTCAATTTTGATAATTGCAATGTTACAGAATCAAGTTTCTCTTCATAATACGTTCGTTGTGACGAAAGTTGTGTCGATAAAAGATAACTATATTCTAATCCAATGGCGTCAAGTTTATCCTAAAAGAAAATAATAATATGTTAATTTAAAAATCATTTTGTAAAAAGAATGAAATTGTATTGATATTTACCTGATTAACCTGATCATTTCGCGGTTGTTGCAATTGAGGTTGTGTATCTGGGCTAGGTAACTCCACTAACTTACCATCTGTTTTATTCTGTATTAAACGATGGACATAACTAAAATAAAATAAAATATTAAGTTATTACGAATGAAAAGGATGAACTAATTTTTAAATTTATCATTTCTTACCCATCACCAGCATAATCCCACACCCTTTGAGTTTCTAATTCTAAGGCATATAGATGAAAGGTCTCTTTATAATGATGATAAGCATGAGCTTCTTGATACCGCCCACATCCGATATTACCACAAACTAAACATATCCACAAATTTTCTGTTGCTCTGCATACGCCGCATTCATTTTGCTCCAATGACGTATCGTAATAGTTACGTTTTTGACTATATCGACAAACAGGACAACTTTGAAAAAAAACTATAATTTAGCTTGTTTTACAATGAAAAGATTAATAAATTAAAATTTAATCAGAATTTTATATAATATTTACCTACTATCTCCCCATTTGCTCAAACAATCACAGTGAAATGTGTGTTGACACAAAATTGTGAGCAATCCTGTAACGGAAGCATCCATTCTTTCAAGACAAACAGGACACGTTGGAAGTTCATGTAGCGGTGAAGTAGTTTGCTGAATTTTGACACCTTGCGTAGACGATATGGAATCAACTTCGCTTGATGGTAGAAAAGGATCATGTAAAAAAGGAAATGCATATGGAGGAGTGGATATTGATTTGAATTCTATAGATTTTATGTAAACAACGTGACATATCTCGGGCTAAGTAAATAAAAATAAAATAAAATAAATTTATTCGAAATTAAAAGAAAAAAGAATTCATATAAAGATGCTCTAATAAAAAAGAAAACCCACCTCCATGGAACTAAACGGACGACCATTAAATTGCTTATAAAAATCTCTAGCTGCCCGCGCATGACGAAACTTCATTAGAACTATAAACTTGTTTGGAGCCGAATCTCTAATAATAATAAAAATTCCGTAAATAAGATATAAGACAACTCTACTTTTGATTGCGATAAATTATATTACACGCCGTACCTTATAAATCTAAGGTGGCTCACATATTTTCTTACTGGAGCAACAAAACCTAGAAAATCCGGAGCTGTTGTATATGATGGTACAGCCAATACAGCCAATATTGTCTCATTGATTCCAACAAGACCAGGAATATTATCATGCTTTTCATCCCTAACTGTCTTCCATGAATTACTTTCTTGTTGTTTAGAACTCTTTAAATCATCATTATCAAGATTACTTATATTATTAATTTCGCGATCCTCATTAGAAGAAGGTATTTCTTTTGGATCACGATATAAATGTAATATACCATAACTTAAATTTGTTTTTCCAGACCTTAATGGAACAAATTTACCAGCTGGAGGATTTACCGCCTTAGATTTAGACTTCTTTGTAGACGAAGATTGTATATCCTCTGAAATCGGTGTCGTAAGATATGATTCTGAAGGCGAATTTGTCTCATTATCATTTCCATTTTGACTATTATTGATTACATTTGCATATGTTTCGTCAGTTTGATTTTGTTGCTCTCCACTCATATTAGCTTCGATATTATCAAACCACTCAATTTCAATATTACCAAACCGGAAATCGTGGGTTTTGTCCAAAGGTAAAGTAGAATCTTCCGTAGGTTGAAAAGACGAAGTGGAAGCGAAAGATTTTCTTCTGCTAATAATTTTATTAGAAGACGATGCAGGAACACTCGATACAGGAGTAGGTGGAATCAAAGGTATTTCACTAAGTGAAAAATTTTTTGATTGATCTACAGACTTTGATCTAGCTTTAGATTTTGTTTTCGATTTATTAAAGTTATTATCTCTTTGTAAAAATAAGTTGTTTTTATCGGAAGTTGATTGGTGTGAAGGTAATTCTTGGAAAATATCTTCAGGAACGAAATATAAACGAGAAGAATTATTATTTTCTGAAGTTTCTTTTCTACTTGTTAAAGAAATTGAATCGTATAATTTTAAAGTCTGATCGTTCGTTGAAGGAACATACAACTCAAATTTTAAGTGATAAAAGTACATGATCCAAATAAAAAAAGCAGGGTGGCGGAAAAACCAAATGAGAATGATGACGATTAATAAAATTTCGTGTTTAGCATCTTTCACAGGGTGCGCAGCAAATCCATCTCCGGCACGTGATATTTTGTGATCTCGATTGATCTTTAGAAAGGAATTTGTTTTGCAATTTTATTAATAAAAACGCCTATGATTTTTCACGATCTAAGTTTTGAATGACTCCTTGCGTAACATTATTGGTAAAAAGAGAATAATAAAGTTTTCCAACTTTTCTTGGATGTCTTTCTAAAAGTGAGTCTGTGAGTGGGATGGTGTGGGTGAAATAAATGGAAGTATGATTTTTTAAAATGATCGATCAATTTACAAAATCAATTAAGAAATCGATTACATGTAATCAACTAAAGTAATCGATTTGTTATGACTTTTTGTTAAAGATAATATGTTCTCTTCTCGCGTGAACCACATGTCTTCGAGCAATATTTTGTCTGAATGGGTTTTTTATATCGCGGGACAAATCCTTGTAAAGTCTAAGGGTTATGTCACTCTTATTTAAACAAAATAAGTTCATCTCTACATGCTTTAAAGCTTTATCAAGAAACATCACTATTTTAATTTGACCTTGGCAATTATTAACAAGACAGCCACTCGTCTTACTAAATAATAGAATTTTTAAATGATACAGTCAAAAAAAAAAAAAAAATGATAAAATGCAACTATGATCATATAAAACTTCGATTGGTTTTTTTTAATGGACTGGATGCAAAGATAAAACGATTCATGAGGTTAAGCCGTTAAGAATGTCTGATAAGGCAACAGGTAAACGCATATCCATTATTAAGGAAAAATCAGGAGTTTGTGGCTGAAGGAGAGAAAAAATTTCATGGACCATTCAACAATATGAAATAGGGACATCATTATCATTCTTTAATATTGACTAAAAATAGTTTATTACTGAATATTTGAAACCGAATAATGATGAGCATAATTTTTCTTGGCCTTGTGCATCTTCAGAGTATCCTTGGCTTCTTAGTGATCAAAATCAATGTAGAATCTGAAAGATGATAAAATAGTGCATACGTCTTTCTAAGGTATCTTCAAAGTTCAAACTCTCCTAGTTAAGACATGCCTATAGCATTTAAAGAGAGTATGTCATAATAGTAAGATATTATTTTAAAATTTTTTCAACTATATTGGTAAAATTGGTAATCGAATGGATTGTTGAACGATTTCTGATATTTTCTAATAAATTTAGACTCAATCTTCCTTGTAAGAATAGTGTGACCGCCGGTAACACCAAAAATAAGGTTATTTTACTCCAACTACTTCATTTTATATATTGTCAAAAAAAATATTTATTATATTGCTATGCAAAGTCCAATAATAAAAAAAATATAATTGAAAAGATTATATCACGGGCTTTTTTCTTTCTTCTGCCCTACTTCTTTCTTCTTTATAAGCATATATAATCCAAGAAGTAACTAATATAGCACTTAAATTTAAGAAAATCTTATTAAAAATGGCCGAAGTTTGTAAAATGAAACAATTAATTAAAGAAGCTAAATAAAATGTACTAACGAGCAAAAGGTAACCAGCAGTCTCCAAAATTTTTTCAAAATTTAACATATAGTAATCCTCAAACATAATATTGTTAATTATTATTATCGAAATATATATAACAGCACTAGTAACAATTAATGATATAATAAAGCTCGTTGTGATATTTTCCTTAAATTTGTACGTTAATAAGCAAAGTACTATTATAGATAAGAAACTAGCCACGTAATAGAGAAAGTTGAAAATTTTTTGAAAAGATTTAAGTGAAGCATTAAAAAATTTATATTTTTTACTTAATAGATAAATGAGTTGTCCAATAATTGCAATTCCAGTTATAAAACTTATAATATGTTGTAATATTTTGATATAAAAAGGAATTTCAACTGATATGATCATAAAAGCTATTTCTTCTTGTAATCCTATTTGTACGAAAAATATAAATGAATAAACTAAATTTCCAATCCTGCTATCCAAGTCCTCCTCATTCTTATCATATTCGTAATCTATGGTCAAATAAATAAGTAATGGAACCATAAAAGAAATTAATACATCAACGAAATTTGCGAGTGAATCAGTTTTATTAGGTTTTTGAGTACTTTCATGTTCTTGTGCTAGAATAATTGAACACAAGAAAGAAGTAATGATAATATAGGAAAAGTACATTTTAATAATAAAGATATGATAACAGTCAAGTATTATGGTATTTATAAGACAGCGCCACAAAAGCTGAATTTTATAAGACACGTATAACCAATTTTTTAATGCCAAATTTTACCAATAAAATAATAACATGTGACATTTTAAACTTTTATATTAACGCGTTACCCTATTAAACAATTGTTCTTTCTTTCTTTTTAAACTATCAATTAAAGAAAATTGTAATGATAAATAATTTGTATCTAAGAATTTAGGTTGTATTTAAACTATTTGATAAATTAGTTATATAAATGATAACTTTTGACCTAATAATGTCTTTAATGAGTGCTTGTTCTTCAGAAGTTTACTTATAGTATGATTTGATAAGCTTCGTAAGAGAATTCTTTCCAGGGAGTTTCATCGCAAAGTTTTCTATAATGATCATGTGATTGGAACAAATTGGAGACACAACATGAACGTGAGAAAAAATTTGATCACATGCTTAATAAATTCCGTAAAAAATACGTCGCCAAAAAATCTTAATTTAAAAATTCTTCTTTCACAATGTCTACGTATCCTGGAACTTATGGAACATACACACATGAAGAAGGTAAATACATTTCTAAATTCTGTTATTCGATTCTTATTGTATGTTTTTCCTGAGTATCAACTCTTTCCGTTCATAGATGCGGCAGTAATTGAACAACGTCGTATAGCGGCAACTTTGGGTCCTTGTCCAAAAGGAGGAAATCATGAATTAAGACAACATTAGTAATTATCTTTCCTTTTAAGGTTCTTTCTTTTTTTTAAAAAAATGTCTAATTTTATTCTTTTATTTCCATTTAGCACGTCCGGTACATTATTTTGGGCATTTTGTTTGGGTTTACCAAGATTTTGTGGATATGCAAAGAAAAAGACTGTCTGTAAAAAATGTAATAAAGAATTTGAAGGCGTGAACATTCCTGAAGCTGGATCAATGAATTGACAAAAGATTTTAATTTACATAATATATTAATCACAATTCCAAAAAATTTTTTACACATACTTCATCTTATTTTAAAAGATCATTACTTGCAAATATTTTTTCCAAATAACTTTAATATCATTTTTAATATTTTAATAATAGATATTTTCTTTTTTACGTACTTACTTTTATTTATGGAACGCATATAATTTTGTTTATATAGAATTATCAAATTTGCTTGTTTTATATTGTATTACAAAATTTAGGACAAAACTCTTCCTTCCGAATTAGAATATCTATGAAATCTAGTTCTGAACTTTTAAACTAGCTATGAATTCTAAAATTAGATCAAATTTTTTCATTATTATTTTTTGATTAAATAGTGTTAAAATGTATTATTCGTTTATTTTTTGTATATTTATAACAAAAAAAATCTCCGGAAATCAAATTAATTCATAAATTAAGTGATAATAATTTATAATAATTTCTTTAATATTAGTAATATTATATTGCACATGCATTAAACCGCATAATTTCTAAAATATTTTGTTGTATTTGTATCATATTATAACTTGTTTATAAAAAAAATTCAACAATAAATAAATGTCAACCAATTTATTTCTACATTTCTTCTTCAAAAGTTTCTTCAGGATAGTCGCCAACTTTTACTTTATTTGGTCTAACAAATGCACCATGTTTTGGAGGACTTTCAAAATACTTTTCTCCTTGAACACTGAATAAAATTCAAATTAGTATAAAAAATTATATATTTAAGAATTGGTTAGAATCATTAATACATACGTTCCATCGTGTTTTCCAACTGGCTCATCATATTGAACACCAACCCAATAACCCGGCTTAAATTTAGTTTCACCTTTGAAAAAGAATCAATATATTTTAATACGAAATGATAATTGAAATACTGAATTTTAAAAAACTTACCAACAAATTTCACAATACCACGTCTTTTTAATCCTTCTTCATTTCCTTCACCAAAATCAACTTCACATCGATCACCAACTTTAATGTTTTTTGCTTCCTCTTCAAATGTCTGAGAAGCATTTGAAGTCGACGATTTAGCATCAGAAAATCTTCCTAATTTATTACGTTGCTTAAATGCAAGCACCGAGTCTTATATAAAAAATTAGACAAATAAATAAATATATAGATACGATAAAATTAATGTAATTTACAAATTATATCTACCTGATCGTTTAGCATATTCATCGTCGGGTAATTCATATTTTTCCACAGATGATAGATCTGTAAATTTGTTTTTATTATTATTAGGATTCGCATCATTAACCTAAATTAAATTAATATACATATATACGTATGATGAATACTAATAATATCAGTTATAAAATAATAGAATTCAATGAATACGACTGCTTACTTTAAGTGTCATAAAATTGTTCACCGGAAAGTCTCCAATCATATAATTATCCCCTTCTATAGACGTGATCATAGTATCGCCATTATATAATTGTAAAACTTGTGAATCAGCAGGAATACCCGTAATAGGTTCTAGTTTCACCTTAATGGCGAAGTTCAAAGTCAACTTTTTATAATGAAAAGGAAACAATTATTTTTAAATGAGAATGAATGAATATTCACCTTGAGCTGTTTTATTGTAAGACTGACATCAAAGCGTCTTTCAGAAGACGCGTTTTCACTTTGTACAAAAACTGTTACAACTGACATGATAGGAATAAATTAGAAACGGAGAAAATGAGATCGAAGATCGAATAAGTATGCTTGATTACGTAATGTAATTGTTTAATATTGGATAATTTTGGCAATATAATTTTTGGCTGACATTTTAACTTGGTGTTCAGAACTATAAATCCTTATTAATAAACTTAAATGCCTAATGCTAATCCAACATGTGAAACATTTCTTTAGTAATCTCGACCGATTGAATTCATTGTTTTCTATAGTAATAAAACAAATGCAATATCATGTACATAACAAATTGATACAACCTAACATAATTTGAAAGTTATTGGTTTAATTTAACAACTAATAGTTTTCTATTTCCTTTTTGCCCTTGTTCACATCATAGGCCTTGTATTCCTTTTCCTTCTTCTAGTAACATTTTGTATTAATCACATTTTTGTATGTTGTTTTTGATTTTTTTGTTGACCACACTTCTTTGTTGCTATTTTTTAATCGTTAACTCTTTTATAAATTTCTCGTTTCTTTGTGATTTCTCATATAAAATTAATTTTCCTAATTCACATTGCTTATCAACTTATCAAACACTATGGATAAACGAACTTTATGCAAGGGCATTGCATATGCAAGGGTATGAAACAAATGTCTTGGAATACTTTTGCGATGTTTCAAACATATAATATGAATGTCGAAGAAACGACACTATTTTTTTTATGGCACCTACCGCAAATTTTTATAACAAACTTTCTCAACATTTTAATTGTACAATCAAGTTGATAGTGTCATGCTTCTCGTTGAGAATGTTGCCTTCTTGTTCAACCATGTTTATTTGCTTCTTGAAGTAACCAAACGTTAACGGGATTAAAAGTGCACGTGGAAACAGGAGTACTACCTTGTAAATAAGTTAGCATGATGTTAGGTCGGACATGATAATTATTTTTAATTGATTTTTCCCAAAAATAATAATACAAGGAAATGATTTCGTTAGAATGAAGTAATTGAAGTTTTCTTTAATAAACAAGCTGTATATCATACAATGGGAATATCGCCAAAGTGGCGGAAGATAAGTTGAGTTAGTTGACGACTTGACGTTATAAATTCTTATTTCTAAAATTTAATATTTCTTTTTAGAAAAAAAAATTAAAATAAAAAAAAATGACGCATTAATTATGCGACTCATTAGAAACAATAATTAGCGGTTTTGTATTTCTGACATCCTAATTCAAATATTCCAATGATTTTGACTAAATAAAATTATGTGAACCAATTGAGCTGTACATCATGTACCAAATTTATCTATTCCCGCAGGAGTAATGTACGCCAAAAATAGGTTTAGTTACTTTATATAGCGTGGTCATGGCAAATTGGCGAAAAAATCTTGGGCAAATTGAAAATAAATGATAAAATAGTGATGCTCATTCCCCTTGGTCTTGGGAAATTTATTTAAAAGAGAAATGACGTAGAAATTTAGAGTAAAATTACAAAATGGGGAAATGAGTGAGTAACATTTTTGTATCATTTCTTTTTTTTAAGTCTAAATAAAGTAAGAATATTGTTTACCTTTTAATAAGCGTATTACATATTAATTAATTTTTATTGTGCCCGGTACCTTGATATGTGAGTTTCCAAATCAGGTAATGTAATATATCTCATACGGTACTATTGGAATTTTTATAAATACTTATTACATTTTTTACATTATTTTTTACAGAATTTTCTTGGCAAAAAAAAAAAATAATTATTTAATAGAAACTTTTTTTTTCCCACATCTGAATATTCTAATATACTTTTTTTTTACTTGAACTCGAAACTCGGAAAAAATGAAAACTTATTTTATCACTCTCTTAGTCCTTGCGTCAGCAACATTGGGTTCAGCCCAATTTGGTGGTAATCTTTCAGACGGTTGTAAGAACGAAATGACCAAATTGCTTGGTGATAAAGATATCAATAAATGCTTTCCGTTTGCATCTGTTGCTCCATTGGCTTCTTCTACTTCTATTCCCGACCAAAATACTTTAAAGAGTGCGGCCGATGCAATTTGTGGGGCTCCTAAATGTTCAGATGATCTTGTAGCTAAGACTCTAAATGAAGTCAAAACTGCATGTCAACAAGATATATCAAATAAAAACCCTCTTGCATCACTTGTTAATGCTGCATTATCTTTGTATTCTCCAACAAGAGATTCTATTTGTTATAAGAACTCTACTGACGGTTATTGTTTCATTGAATCTCAAGCAGCAGCACAACAAATTCTTCAATCTGCTCCAAAAGGCCAAGATCCTGCTATTACTCTTGCTGGTGCATCAAAAGATGTAGTTTGCACTCCCTGTAATAAAGCCATTTTTAATACTTATTTTAACTACCAAAATACAAATCCTAATGCATTCTCAGATATCCAACAAGTCACTGATAAAGATATTAATACTGCTAAAAGTGCTTTACAAGGAAAATGTGGTAAAAATTTCATAGGTAATTATCGAAATTTTATAATTCTTTTTGAATAAATTTATTAAATATTAATAATACTTATTTTTCATTTTTTAATTATTAGATGGAAATGTAGGAGATTCAAAAGAAGATCCACAAAAATTCCAAAGTGAATCTGCTAACCAAAAATCTGATGCCGCGTCTTTAATTGCAAATCGTATGAGTTTAGTAGTTCTCGTAGGATCAATTCTTGCTGCGCTTTAAATTGCAATTTCGGGATAATAATTATTTATTTATTTATTATTTATTTTATTAATTTAAATTGTTTAATCATTTTCGAGAAAAAAAATATTTCAATAGACTTTTTGTAAAAAAGTATCCGCATTAACTCCATTATAGAGGAAATTAATGCTTGATGTAAAATCTATTATTTGCATAATTCGTAGCTAGTTTGTATTTTTATATTATATTATTAATATTCAATAAAGTAATATTTATTCAAAACATTAAAAATAAAAAGTAATAAATGTTAATAAAGCCGGTAAAAGCCGGTAAAACTTAGTATTTACTTGTATAAACTATCTTCGTAATTATATTTTTTATTAACATGGCAAATACATGGATTAGAAAGTCAAAATCCGTTTATAAAGTTTAATCACATGAGTATGATGAAATAGAAAATTAAAGTGGGGAATTAAAATTAAACTATCCATAAGACTATAATTAAACTTTATGATCATGTTTTGCATATAGTCATTTTTATTAAGTTATCACCTTATCAACTTTTTTATTACTTGGCAATCATGGAATGAGCTAAATTAGAAAGATCGACGTTATAATGGTAAATAAACATTCGAAAGTGGTAATTGGGTGTCAATTTATAAATTTCGTATAAATAGAACGTTCTATGGTTGTAATCAGCTTTTCTCCAATCTTTTCACATTAAAAAAAAAAAAAAGAAAAGATTAAAAGTTGAGAGTAGTTTTTATATTCATAAATAGCGGAAATTATATAAAGTTATAAATTAAGAAAAATCAAAACCTTTTTTTCGTAATTTAATAATCTGATAATAAAATAATAAAAATTTCCCTATTGTCCGTCAACGAAATATCTCATCTTAACCATGGCAAGAACAAAATTAGAAATGATTCTTTTGTTCACGATATTTTCATTACTTTTCACTTTTCCTTTTCAATTGACGATGGCACAAGCTCCCGCTCCAGGAGCGGCTCCCGCCCCAGGAAAAGCTCCCGCTCCAGGAAAAGCTCCCGCTCCAGGAACAGTTCCCGCTCCAGGGGGAACTACTCCAGGAACCGCGGCTGCTCCTCCTCCCGTACAAGCTACTCTTTGTATTCCGAACGTGTTTATACCCACTACCGTTCCGTTGAAACAATTGAAAACTACTTTGGGCACAGGAGGAAGTGTTACTGTTGCAGGAACTGTAACTATTATCGATGGATGTGCATTTACAATCAATGGATTTACTTACTCCACTGCGGCTACTAACTCGTAAGTTCTATGATCTTTTCTAACGAAGAAAAGAAATTTGAATTAATTAATGATTTTTTGTTATAGATATTGGATGGGCAGTAATTCTACGGATCCTAATTCAGACAAGATTTTGGTTAGCAATACACCAGTAGGCCAATTCATATCACAACCAGCACAAAGTTTTAATTTAACTCCAACCATAACATTTGATGATTTTAATGTACTAGATCTTTATTCATTTGATGAAAAAGCTGTATTTGGTCAGGCTGTATTAAGAGCTCCAAAGAGTACTGAAACAAAACCAAGTGCATCAGCCCCTACTTCCATCATTCTAGGTGATGCCACTAGATTATCAATGAATTCAAACATTATGACCATTATTACTTTTGTTTTGGTAGCTTTTTTTTTCTATTAATTGAATAATTTAGATTTATCGAAGAGAACAATATTTAAAAAAAAAAAATCCTTTTTTTTATACTATACAATGGTGGAAGACAGAATATGGGGGTGTTTTTTTTAAAAAAAAAGAAAAAAAGAAAAAAAAAATAATTAATAATTTTATTTAATTTGATATATTTACCGTAGAATGTAATATATTATATTTTGTTATTGTCTTGTATTGTATTTATTACTTTTCTTCATAAAAGCTTTTAATTAATAAATTCCTTTAATAATAATGATGTTCTTTAAATCAAATATATATATGTACATACAAATATGCACTTTTTTATTTTTTATTTTTTTTATTTCGAGATGAACAGGGATCAGAAACAGCTATATAGAAAAATATGCACTTTTTTTTCTTTAATGTAAACACGTGATATAACATGAGATCTTAGATTTAATACTATTGAACAAATGTGGCGTAATTTATTTTATCGTGGCTTTTCACCGTTCTTAGGTCAAGAGCTATATATAAAAAAAAATGAACGAGCAATCACCAGAAGAAGTTTCGGAAGAAGTCATTATAACTTCTTCTACAAATAAAGAAGAAGAAACCAAAGAAACTACAGATATGCAAACAACGGAAATTGTAGACAATAGTGAAAATGGTGATGTTACCATCGTAAAATCTACAACTGACTCTACATCAGAAAATGTTCCTCCCACTCAAATAGAAGATGAAGATAATATGAGTGATATACCCGGAATCCGAGTTTCTATGGCAACTATAGTTGAATTGCCCCCTCTTGAGGAGCAACAAAGATTGTCTGATGAGAATGCTCCAGCTGTTTCTGAAAAAGTAATAGACGAGATCTTTTCTAGTATTATTACTTTACCTGAAGAACAACAAATTAAATCATCAGAAGTTCCAAACCAACAAGAACCGCAATCTACCGTTTTAACTGAAATGAGCGTAACAAATGAAACGAGCGATGTTCCGCCTGCTACCGATGCAACAAATGAGACTAACGAAGATAGCGAAGATAATACTAGCAATGAGGTTAATGAAGAAATTGAAACTATTTTAACAAGTGAAACTGTAATAACTGAGATTGCTGAAAGACCTGTTGAGGATAGTACTGAAAATATTAATAAAACAGATGAAATTGTTCAGAACAATCAAAATTCTCAAAATTCTTCTGTTGTTCAAGACGTAGAAAACATTCAAAATTCTTCAAATTCTTCAGTTATTCAGGACGCTCAAAGCGTACAGAATATGCAAAGTACTCAAAACATTCAAAATACTCCGATTGTTCATGATGTACAGAGTGTTCAGGTGGCTCAAAATGATCAAAGTTCCCCTATTATGCAAAATGTTAAGGATATTCAAAATCCTCAGGAAATTCCAGTCAAAGTTGAAGATGTTCGAAATGACCCGACCGTCCAGAATACACAAAATCAAAAAGATCAGAATGTTGAGAATTCTCAAAGTATACAAAGTACTCAACAACCTATGATTATAGATCAAGATATTTCTCAACAACCACCTGAACAAAAATCAGAACAAGTTGTGGATGATAAGACTGTTCAACCTATCGTTAGTGGATCAACCGAAGTTTCGCCACCACAACAACCACAACAACCACAACAATTGCAACAATTATCAATTCCTCTCGTTCAAAACGCATCAAGTGCGACTAATGATGATGTTCAGCCGATGGATACTTTAAACACATCTTCCGATGACTATAAAAATGTACCGCCTCCTTCTACACTTACAACACCAACTGGTACATTTGATTATGAAGATGCGATAAAGAAAGCTCATGCTATCGCAGCAAAATTACTTAACAATAATGAAAGTGGAGCTGTAGTTCAAAATCAACAGAACAGTATGTATAATTAATAAATTATTATTCATTAGTTTTATTTTGATGCTTATTAATATTTTTTTTTTCGTATATAGGTGCACAACAAGGTGTTAAGAGATCACACGAGGATAGTTATAATTCACATGGTTCTACTAGAGATAGTAGAGATGATTATCGAGATGATTATCGAAGAGACTCTTATAATCGCCGTGAAAGAGGACGATATGATGATTATGGAAGAGATTCCAAACGAGCAGCATATGATAGTGGTTCTTCTCGTCCAGAATGTAATTTTATTTATATTTATTTATATTTATTTGTATTATGAACGTTTATTATAAATACTAATATGTTTGATTATTAAATGATTAATAGACGACAGTAGTAGTGGTGGTGGTGGTAGTAGTAATGGTGGCGGAGGCAGCGGCGGCGGCGGCGGCAGCAGCGGCGGCGGAGGTGGAGGAAATAGACATCGTTATGGTCTAGGAAGCGAGGAGCGCAGATCACATCATGGTTCACACTATGGGCCAGGTGATTCACGCGCTACTGGTCATGAAGAATTTAAGGTTCCAAATGCTGTTGTAGGTTTAGTAATTGGTCGTGGTGGAGAGAATTTAAAAAGAATCGAAAAAAATACTGGAGCACGTATTCAATTTTCGCAAGGTAATTGTTAAAACAACATTCGAGTTTTTTTTTTTTTAAAAAAAAGAAAATATATTAAAACCTTATTAAAAATTTAGATCAACCTCCGGATGTTATTGAAAGAAGAGTTACTATTACAGGTCAAGTTGATGATGTTAAAACTGCTAGAGCGATGATTCAACAACTTGTTGAAGATGCTAGTAATGGTACTTTAACTGGTCGTCGAGACTCTCATGGCAGTGGTAGTAATAGGGCAACTATTACGATTCACATTCCTGTTAATAAAGTTGGTGTTGTAATTGGGCGTGGTGGAGAAACCATTAGAGATTTACAAGATAGAAGTGGTGCACGTATCAATGTTACTCCAGATAGTGCAGCCAGTCCACAATCTAATGATCGTTCTGTAACTTTAATTGGTGACGATGCTGCTGTACAGAGAGCAAAGGCTCTTATTGATGAAATTGTTAATAATGGAGAAACTAGTTCTGATAGGGTTTGTCGTCTTTTATTTAATAATTTTTTTTATTTGTTTAAATTTATTATTAAATGACTATTTTTATTATTATTTCAATAGAATCATTCTAAAGAGTATCGTTCCAGTAATTATGGAAATAATTATAATAATAATGACAGCCATCATGGAAGTAGTTATGGTGGTAGCCATTACGGATCTTCTAATCATGGTGGACAATATGGTAGTCATCATTCAGGTAAGTCAAACCAGAATCAGGATAGTATAACCATCCAAGTTCCGAATGATTCTGTTGGCTTAATCATCGGAAAAGGTATGTCAAATTTATAATTATAAATTTTGCAATTTACGTAGAAAACGGTAATTGAAATAATGATTTGTTTTTAAATTTTTTTTAGGGGGAGAGACCGTTAGAGCACTTCAACAACAATCAGGCGCAAAAATTCAGATCGAGCCTGTTCATGGAGCTACACCTGTGGATCGTAATGTTCAAATTATCGGTGAGTCCAAGTTTATATAATTTATTGTCTGCTTGTAAATGATAACTTCTTTGTCCACAAATAAATGCTGTAAATTCAATGTCAGTCGTTCGATGTGTTTTGCATTCGTGTTGTCGTCGCTTGTAGGTACTGCTGAAAATATCGCTATCGCGAAATCATTGATTCTTGAAAAAGCTGCATCCGGAAATGTACTATCGTTTTTGACATCGCTTGTTGAGTGTGATTGCTATCGTTTTTCCTTTAGTTTTGGATAATTTAAAGGCCCCTGGTCATTACTCGCATTTTGTTATTGATCGATTGTGTTACATTCTTTTTTTTTTCTATTCTGTTTGATTTTCTTGCTTTATTGTGTGGATATACTTTTTTATACAGCGTGAGAGACCATCTCGTCACAATAACGATCAAGGAAGAAAGTAAGCAAAACTTAATGTTAATTTAGTAATGATGATTGGTGTTCAAAAAACAAGAAAAGAAAAGAAAATAGAAAAGAAAAAAATTTTTTTAATCAGTTATTTTCTTCCCTCATTAGCGATTACGGATCGAGCGGATATCAACAAAGTGGATACCAACAGGGTAGTGGGTACCAGCAAAGTGGATATCAACAAAGTAGTTATCGACAAGGAACCTACCAACCGAATAACTATCAACAAGGTGGTGGTGGATATCCACAGAATAGCGGATATCAACAAAGCGGAGTTAGTAACTCTAATGTTACTAATAGTAATACTCCAGGATATCAGCAAACTGGTTATCCTACCAACACTTATAATCCCGCGCCACAACAACAAACTACTTATCAAAATACGTCAAATGATTATGTTCAGAACGCTACTAGTAGTTATCCTAGTGCCAATACATATGGAGTAACAGGACAGCAACCACAAACAGCTTATGGTCAATATAATCAATATGGTACTACACAAAATACTACACCATATAGCCAATACCCGACTACCCAGTACGGTGCTTATGGACAACCTACACAGTATAATCAACCAACTGCCGGACAGGTCGGACAGCCCACAGTACAGCCCACAGTACAACCTGTTATTCAACCTGTTATACAAGCTGTCGGTAATCAACCTACTGGTCAACCGACACAAGGTAATACCATTATATAATTCTTGATTTTTTTATATATATTTCAAATTTTAAATTTTCTTTTTTTTAGTTGGATATTATTCAACTCAACAAACCACAATGGATCCAACCAAAGTTGGATCAGTAAATGAAATAAAACAAGATCCTCAACCGATAACCGCAACGCCAAACTACAGTTATCAATTTCCTTATAATTATGGAACACCATCTTCGAATCAATATCCCTCTGTTGGTGCTGGACAAATTCAAACAGCAACTGTTAGTCAAGCTGCCAGTGGATATCCGATTTTAGGTGCTACTGCAACTGCATACAGCTCACCTGCAACCCTCAACACTGGAACGACGGCTAATACTGCACCACCTGGAAGTGGAGATCAAACTAATCTTCAATATCCAGGATATTATACGCAACAATATTCACCAGATCAATATAATCAACAACCAAATTATTATCAACAATATTTTCAACAACAGCAGCAGCAACAACAACAGCAGCAGCAGCAACAGCAATCACAACAACCAACAGCATATAGTTATCAAACACCTACTAATCTTTCTACGGAGGCTCCAAAGTAGTAAATTTTGGTTTTTTTTTTCATTTTGTTGAAATTATCAGAGATTCGAAAAAAATGGGTTTTGTTTCTACGTTGTGAATTTTGATTTGTTTCGTTCAACAAATAGTTGGTGAAATATCATTGTCGTAACCTTGTCTTTATTCGCGAGAATTCATCATATTGCACGTTGACTATTATATTATTTAGGATGATATTAGGATGCGATTTCGCATGAATTTTGGTATAACGATATAACAGGACATTTTTTTTTTTTAAGTAGATCGTGTTGAAACTTGTCGATATTGCTTTTTATACTATTGTTTTTATATTTGTTATTCTGGGTTTTGGTTTTTTTCTTCAATTTATATCGTAGTTCTTTATTTATGAAATTGTCACAATTCATGTACATAGCAAAAGCACATCATGAAAAAATTCATCAAATTTATTTTATGATATCAAATATACTTGGTTTGAGATTGAAACTGCGCAAACTTGTAATGTGCAACGTGATAATATATCTTTGTTTTGTTTTTAGCTTTTTTTAAGATTTTTATAAAGAAATAAATTTATTATTTAGATTTACCCAAATTTTATTACAAAATTAAATTTTTATTTTTTAAATGCGTTAAAGTTGATAATATTACCTAATTTAGTAAAAATTATTTCTCCGACAGTTTCCGGATTACCTACCACCCTAATAGCCGAATTAAAGCGAGGGTTAACCATTATTGGAATCGGACATTTAACGGCAATTATTACTTGCATTAGGCGAGGAAAATGTATAATTTATACACAAGGTGTACATTGTACAACATCTTTAACCCTAATCCTAATGCATACCTTGTGTAAGGTTTAGGATAGGTAAAATTTTTTTTTTTTTTTTTTGAGGGAAATTTAAAATTAGGTAAGGTTTATTTATGTTCTTTTTAAAACAGAGAGTTAAGCTAATATTTTACTATATTCTGCGAAACTTTTAGAGATACCATTTTGGAAATCCACTTAATTAATTAAGTCGATGATTGATTATAGAATATTATAGCGGAAAAGATCTGATCGAGTAAAAAAAAAAAAGTATTTTCCGGGAAAAAAAAAAAAGAAAACTTTTGATCATGGGAAACTGACTCACATGGTTTAAAATTTCTTTAAATGTATTAAATACCGAAATTACCTATTACATAATTCAATTTTTTTTAAATCCATTGTTAATAGATTTACATTACAATATTAATGTTTTGAAAATCAATTTTTTTATTAATTAAAAATTTTTTACAAAAAATGTGGTGCAATAAATTAATGAATACTCACTTCGCAAATTTATAATAAAAAAAGTAAAAACTAAAAATAGAACTTTTTGAGCATAAAATTTGCATAATTTGAAATATTTTATTTTATTATAGACCGCGAATATGTTTATATTTTCGTATTTACGTGCAATTAATTTTAAACCAAAATATTTAAGAAAATAAAATGATTTTTGAGTTATCTTTATTAGTATTAATATTAATGACAATCTTAGAATTAAGTTTACTGAATAACTAATTCATAAGGTTACTCAAGAAACTTGTTTCATGAAAAGGAAAAAAAAAAAGCGGAGGTGACACCGAAACCTTTTTTTTTTTTTTTTTAATGAGGCTCGATATAATAATGATAATAGATAAAATGATCTAATATGATTTATTATTTTTTCCCTTTTTTCTTTTAAAATTTAATCGGTTCAAAATCGCAATAATTCTTAATCCCCTCTTTAGGGACCATTCAATTAACTAAATAAGACATTCCTTTTTTTCCGGTCGTCGATGAAACTCGAAAAAAAAATATATATATATACAATATAATATTAGAATAAATACATATATGTATAATATGTTAAAATTTTGTGTAAATTAACTGCATTTTACCTGCAACATGTAAATCATAAACAAAATAAGAAGAATTGTTTTTTACACCTTTTTTGGATTAAAATAACCGAGGTTACATTAACAGGGGGTAATTGACCTGAGACCTGAAAATGGCAAAGTAATAAATAATTAATAATGTTTTGATTTGATTTCGCGTATATAACGCAGTAAGTAGTACTTGGAGTAGTCGGGAGAGTTTGAGATTTCATTAAATTCATAAAAACGGGTTTAACCTTTCCGGAAATTTTTTGGGAAAACAAAATAGTTTATCAGCTGATTTTAGCTAAATTTGTTGGTTCATACTTTAATTATAACACAAACAACTCCACATTTTTTTTTCTTAACTTTGTACGCGTTTTAAAGAACCAAATTTTTTGATCGTGATTTTCAATTTTTTTTTTTTTTTTTTTAAAAAAAAAAAGATCAATTACACAGATATAATATTTTAATATCGAAAAAAGTTTTTTTTTTTTTTCGAAATGATGATTTTAACAATAATTCTTTCTTATTAAATTTAAAACGAACGAATAAAAAAATTTTTAGATTTTCTTTAATTTTAAAGTAAAAAGAAAAATTTCTTTAAGTATTAAATAATAAAATTTAAAAAAGATGATAATTCTGAAACGATTTAATTTTTAATGTTTTAAAAGAAAAGTTATAATAAATTATTATTGTGAAAATTTGTGAAATTCGGGCTAATCGGAAGTTGAATATTTTTTTTTTTTTTCCTTCCTTATAGAATGTGCAACATTAAATTAATGTTCACTCAAAGACAACTCAAGACACTCACATTACCCAATTTGTAATTAAACGTTTGTTATGTCTTATAATCAAAAAGTCATTCGGGTAAAAAAGCGGATTATTGATATACAAACCGATAGCAACGTAAAGGTAATAAGAAACATTAATGATGTAAGCTATGTGAGCATAAATTATTACAGATAAGTTATAGTAAATTACAAAATCTACCAGAATCCCGAAAAACTTTTTCTTGGGACGTTTTTATTACATGATCTAACTTATCTTGGTTTAAAGACTGGTAAAACGCAATTTGTTCGGTCTCGTAAATCTTTCCAATAAATCATTCTTTTATCAATATATCAACCGATAATCAGATCCTTTGATTAACTTTTCCGAAACTTCATTTAACCCAAAAACACCATGACAATTAATTTATTCATTTATTCAACAGATAAGATAACAAGCGATTACATGTGGCTAGCGACCCATTATTTTATATGGAAGTGTAAGCCCAAAGAGAGATAAATATACTGTTAATTAAAAGAGTAAAAAAAAAACGAGAGGTGTAATAATAAAATATTATAATTATAGTGCAAATTTTAAAACTAATAAAAAATTGTACTAATTAAATTACAAGAATTCCATTTTATTTTAATTATTATTTTTTTCTAAACCCTTTTTATTTTAGTTTTATTATTTATTTTGGTCCCTGTAGTTTTTTGTATACAATTGATTGGTTGATATCTTCAAATGAAACTTTATTCATTACATTGCATTTAATTTCACCTATTACTTTCCATTCATCTTCCCATAAACATTTAATGTATAAACTTTCTATGAAAGAAAATTATTCAATGTATAAAATTAAAAAAATTTAATTTTTTTCTTTTTTCTTCTTTTTTAAAAAAGCTGATAAATGGTAAAATGATTTAACGAAAATGTAAAATTATTTTTGATGATCTTTCAATAATAATTATCTGTTATAATAATTATGCAAAAAAGAAATGAGAAAAAAAAAAATAGTACTAACGGATTAAAGGTTGAATCAATTTTTGATATGATTTAAAAAAAGTTAAAATCATCATTTATATTATTTTTTAATTTAGAAATTGTTCACCTTTTTAGTTTTTTTTTTTCCTTTTAATATATAAAATAATCTTAGAATAATTTTTTTTTACCTTGTTAATATAATTGTATATAACAAAGAGTTTGGGATTATCGTATTCACGCAATTTATTCTTATACTAAATTTAGTAATATTCATCGGATTTAGATAAAAAAAAAAAAATATTTTATTTTTTTCTTATTTGGTAAGAAATTACCGTTATTCAATTATTTAGCAAATTTGGTAATGATTTTACCTAATGAAAATAAATATATTGTATTATATTTATACGTGTTTCCATTATTTTATTCTGAATATATGCAAAATTACGTTGTACATCGATTAAAAAAAAATTTTAAAAAATTTTAATTTAGTCATATAAAAAAAGTTTTTATATATAAACAGATGGAATTCGCCCGGATTTTTATTTTCCTCACTTCTAATTTCAAATATCGTTTTTTTTTTGTCAGTAAAAATTCAGCATTGTCTGAACTAACTTTAATTCTCTCACTTTTTCACCTACACACCGAGAGCAAACATTAAATTCCTTCAGAACCATTCTCATTCATTCAATAATTTTTTTATCATTCAAAAATATTCAAAATGAGAAATTCCGTTGCTATCTTGGCTCTTGTCATTTTCGTTCTCACTTTCATCAGTTCTGAAGTCTCTGCCTCTTATTCAAGCTGTCAAAAGGATTTGAAAAAATGTAAAAAAGAAAAGAAAGAAGATCGTCTTGTAATTGGTCCAAGCAAAGATGCTTTTAAAAAGAATTTGCCTCAAGATTTCTGTGCAATCTTCAAAAAAGGTGGCTCAAAAGAAGGTCAACTTAGACAAGCAAATGGAACACAAATTCTTACAGGTGTTTGCTCTAATACACCACAAGGTGAAATTCCAAAAGTTGAAAATATGCCATCAACCCTTATCCTTTACCCAGACAATGGTGATAAAATTAAGAAAAATGAACCATTTACTATTAAAGTTAAAACACAAAAATTAGAACTTGGGTTTTTCAGTGATCCAGCAATTACATATAACACTTTTCCTCAAGTTTTAAATAAGCATGGTTTGATTCAAGGTCATCAACATGTTACTATCCAATTTCTCGGCAAAGATAAAAATAATTTAGACTTTCCCGATGCTACTAAATTTGATTTCTTCAAAGGTCTCAATGACCCTTCTAAGGATGGAATCTTAAATGTTAAAGTTGATAAAGGTTTACCAAAGAAAGGTTTATACAGAATGTGCACCATTATCTCATCTTTCTCTCATCAATCTGTTGTATTGGTATGTATAAATGATTTTTTTGATTTGTTTTCACATATCACGTGATTACTGGATTCTCACATTTCATTTTTTTTTTTTTTACTTTTTGTTCAGCCCAAGGCACAAAGAGGAGCTAGCGATGACTGCGTTCGTTTTAGCGTCGTATAATAAAAGGCGATTCTTCTTTCTTTCTTTCTTTTTTTTTGTTTGTCTCTCGTGTGCGTTTTACGTTTCAGACATTTCATGTCAATCACCTCCATTAATTTCGTAAATATAGAATTTTAGTTAATAATAATTAATTTTTTTTAATATAATCTGGCATTAAAACTATTTTCCATTAATATCCTCTTTAATTACCATAAATTCCGGTGATTATTAATTTTTTTTTTTTTTTTTTTTTTTAGTTAACGAACTTAATTTGTACAAATTTTTTCAAACAAAC